TTGTTTTGTCTGTTCCCTTCTCGGCTCGATCGAGCTCTGGTTTGTCTTTCTGAATCTCGGTTTCTTCAGCTCGATCGAGCTCTGGTTCAGGGTTTTGTTCCAGCTCGATCGAGTTCGGTGCCGGAATATCAGCATACTCGACCAAATCCTCCCCTTCCTCGTCATCGATGTCCACAGCGATTTGGAGTGGGCTACTCCTGTTTGGAAATTGCCGCCCACTTCTCAGTGTAACTGCTTGAGCATACTCTTGTGGTGAAGAGGATGATGCACTAGAAGACCAATGATTTGCACTCTTGAAGTCAATGACTCAAGTTTGGAGTTTATTTCTACCAACTTGTGGTTCATTTCCAGTGAACCTTTGGCTTGCCCTTGTAGGAGTTGTTTTAGCATATCCTTCATATCCCAATCTTGGCTTGGTTGGGTATGGTTAGGCCATTGGGTGAAGCCTTGGTGGTACACTGGGGTGTTGTTGGGCAAGGTGTTTGGATAGGTGGAGTATGTCCCTTGTTGTCCATAGCCAATGGTATATCCTTGCTGAGGATTCCTAAAACCTCCTTGTCTATTTTGAATATAGCAAACCTCATGTTGGTTCTCCTCCCCTTCCTGGTCTTTAACTAGAGCTTTTCCAGAGACATAATTGACATGCTTGGCAGGGAATTGGGCTAGGATCAGTTTGTCCAACTTCGAGTTCAGAGCAAGCATATCTTTTCTCATTGTGCTTCCAGCTCGATCGAGTGCGCGGTCGAGCTCCAGTCTGTACTTCATAATGTTCTCCATAGCACTCAGTTGATATGGCCATGTTCTCCACAAGTTGCCAGCCATCATCTACATCTGTTGAGGAAGTTCCCCATTGCTAGCTGTGTCTAGCATCTCCCTATACCTAGGCAAGCATCCTCTATAAAGAGTGGAGAGTAGTGATTCATTGTTGAATCCATGGTGTGGGCACTGACTTGTGTAGCCCTTTGAACCTCTCCCAAGCCTCTGCGAATGTCTCATTGTTTCGCTGATGAAGCTGGATATCTCTCCTCTAAGCTTGGCTGTGCGACCGGTGGAGAAAAACTTAGCAAGAAAGGCCTTCTTGCATTCATCCCAAGTGGTGATTGTGCCATGGGGCAAGCTCTTCTCCCATTGGTGAGCTTTGTCAGCTAGAGACATAGGAAAGAGTCTCAGCTTGATGGCATCTTCAGAGACACCATTGATCTTTGTCAAATCACAAAGCCTATCAAACTCATCAAGGTGGTCAATGGGGTCTTCACTTGGCAATCCATGGAACATCTTGTTCTGAACAAGGTTGATCATTCCCAGCTTGATCTCAAAGTTGTGGTTCTGCACTGGTGGTGGAACAATCCCTTGTCTCTGTTGGTGGCGGTTTGGAGCATCTCCTTGACCAATCGGTCGAGTTTGCCTAGCTCGACCGAGTCCATTGCCCAAAGGGTTTCCATTCCCCTCTGGTACATCCATTGTATCAGCAACAAGCACCTCAGGTTCCTCTTGTACCCTCTGTGACCTCTGAACCCTCTTTCTACCCGTTGTAAGTCTAGCTCGACCAAGTCTTCTGTAGACCGACTCGATCGAGTTCGCATACACCTGCAAAAAGAATCAAAAACCCAGCAGTACAAAGAACAGGGGTGGTATAGCTTGATCGTCCAAGTGTATTTGAAACTCAAATGCAACAAAATATCCCAAATCGGCAACGGCGCCAAATTGATGATAGGATTTGTGTGTGGGTGTGAAAGATATGAAATGAGATGTGGTGGAATGCAACAGTGGTATATGATGAGGTGGTAAGATGCAAACACAAACACAGTCAACAATTCCCTTTAACCATGATAGACGTTATAGCATAAAGGGTATCAATCCAAAATGGGAGAAGATTGTCACTCTATGAGAATATGAAATGACAAGGAAGTCAAGCAAGCAGTAATAGATATGGGGTAACACTAACAACCTAAATGAAACAGAAATGAAATGCAGTAAGTAAATAAAGCAGTCAAGCAAGCAGTAATTATCAGGTGAACATGATACCAGTAATAGCAAATGAGGTGACAAAATCGGATGAAAAGTACTTTACATTTGCACTTTACTATTACGTTTTAACAACTGCTGTTGTAAAACTCCGAGAAATAATAACACATTTTCAAACGCTATAATAAAGACAATAATGACAACTAATAAACGCTGTAAATAATATTATTAATAACTGTTTCAAAACGCTATTAAAACATATTTAATAGCAAACTAAAAGCCGCTATTATAAACGAAAATACGATAGCAGTACGAAAAAGCGCTATCTAAAGTCTCAGACCTACAATGACGTGCGATGATAAAGCGCTTCTCAAAACGCTATCGTATCGTAAGATAGCGTTTTTCGGATGCTATTAATACCCTTTTTTCCTGTAGTGAAACCCCCATATTATCTCTTGTGCGAATTGTGAGTCCTTTTCTTGGATTTTCTTAGCATAAGGTGTTATGTTTAAACCGGCAGGAGCAGTAGTTCTAGTTATCTAGTTCTCTTGGGTTCGTTTTCAGGCTAAGTTTGGGGGTGCCCATTTGAGCTCGATCGAGTGGGGTGTCAAAACCAGAAAAGTGGTAAAAGTTGGGGAAAACAAAAGGAAAATAGTTTAGTTAAGTCCATGGAGTTGGCATTGTTTAAAAAAGGGTCTAGTAAAGGTTTGGGAAGTTAAAAGGTGTCGAAAAGTCCCAAACCGCTAGATGTTACCTTAGAAGCCTCTCCCTGTGTTGTTCTTAAAAGAAAAGTGAGCAAGGCTCCTCTGTTTCAAAGGCGAAGTGCCAAAAGGGTAGTTAGGATTTGTTCTTTAAGCTCTAAGTGTTGAACTCGATTGAGTTAGGATTAGGTAGCTGATGTACTTGCTTTTGCATAGTTTTAGTATCCATTAGCATCATATCTTGTTCCTTTTCTCTTCTTGTGCATTCATAGTAGTTTTAGGTTGCATTTGCATACATATGCATGTTTGGTCCTTTGAAATAGGTCTTTTGGAGCATTTGGAGCATATGGGACGTGAGGAGCAAGGAGAAGGACTTGGTGCATGGACGCAGCTCAACTGGATACGCAAAGGAAGAAGGAGGAAGCCATCTTGAAGACCAGCTCGACCACCTACTCGACCGGCCAAGCTTCAACTCGATCGAGCTGAGAAGTCAACAGTCAAACCCGAAAAATGTTGCTTCCCCCTTGACTTTCCTTTGACCCTAAACCTAATCCTCTTGTATTTAAAGGCTCTAAGCCACGAAAAAACACAAGCTTTAGCTTATTTTTGTTTTAGCTTTCTTTTAATTATTGTCTTTACTTTTTGCAACCTAATCCCTCTTTGTGTTCTTGAAGCTCTTGCTTCTTGAATCCTTAGATCCTGGATATCTTTTTGTATTTGCACTTGCTTATTTCAATAAAAGTTTTTATTTTATCTCCTCTTTCATATTGATGTCATTTCATTGCATTTGCTTGTGTTTACATTCATGTGTAGTGAGTAGTTACCCATTAGGGTTTGAGATGGGCTAGATTAGGGGATCTTATGCTTAATCCTTCTTGCTTATGTTCTTAATCTAGAAATCTCTCTCTTTTGGACAAACCTTAAGGCTACATGACCACTATCCCTGGCTTGTATGTCCATAGGCGATTCTCCACATGGAAGTGATGGAAATCGTTGGAAAAGGTCCACTAAGAGCTCCAATAACTCTTGCTCTCGAAATGGAGTTCATAGGGGTTGGATGGATTAGTTTGAGCAATGATCCTATGGCCTCCAAGGCTTGATTCTCACTGGCTAACCCCCTGTTTCTGAGATCAAGTCTTGGTTGATAGCTTTCACCTTGGGAAAGGGTTAGCTAGGCATTGAGAAGCTCAATATCAAGAGATACCTTGATACAAGTTGTTTGAGAGCAAGATTGATTAAGTATAGCCTTCCTTGATTGTAAACCCTGTCTTAGACCCTAATATTCGCATTAGCTTGTTAAAGTTCCTGCCTTTATCGCTTTTTACTTCAACTCGACCCTAACTCGATCGAGCTGGTTACTCTGTTCCCACTCGACTCGAGTCCTTGGTCGAGCTGCTTGCTTTACTGCTTTCTTTCTTTATTTCCTTGCATTTCATTAGGTTGTTAGTGTTACATTTCCCATCTTTACTTTGCTTGACTTCCTTGTCATTGCATATTCTCATAGAGTAACAATTTCACCCATATGGATTGATACCCTTATACTTCAATGACTATGATGGTTAAGGGAATTGTTGACTGTGTTTGTGTTTTGCACCATACCATCTCATCTTCTTATACCACTGTTGCATTCCACCTCATTTCATTTCATACCATATCATCACATCACACACACAAATCCTTATCATCAATTTGGCGCCGTTGCCATTTGGGTTGAATATTGTTGCATTTGAGTTTCTAATACACTTGGACGATCAAGCTATCCCACCCCTGTTCTTTGTATTGCTGGGTTTTTGATTCTTTTTGCAGGTGTATGCGAACTCGATCGAGTCGGACAACAGAAGACTTGGTCGAGCTAGACTTCACCACAGGTAGAAAGAGAAGTCAAAGGACTCAGAGGGTACAAGAGGAACCTGAGGTGCTTGTTACTGATACCATGGATGTACCAGAGGGGAATGGAAACCCTTTGGGTAATGGACCCGGTCGAGCTCGTCAACCTCGACCAATTGGTCTCGGAGATACTCCAAACCGCCATTAACAGAGACAAGGGATTGGGCCACCACCTGTGCAGAACCACAACTTTGAGATCAAGCTGGGTATGATCAACCTTGTCCAGAACAAGATGTTCCATGGTTTGTGATAGACCCCTGATTATAGATCGGCACTTTGAAGCAAGTTTGAATGATGGAGTGATGAAGGATGGATTGATGAAGTGATGGAAGTGACTTGGGCGAGATGATGGATTGAAAGGGGATGATCGATGGCTATAACAAGAGATCTGTGAAGGATCTCTCAACACCAAACTTGTTGATCTCAAGGATATTACACACCAAGAGATGGACAAGGCTCTTGTTGATCTCCAGGATATTACACACCAAGAGATGGACAAGGAATAGATTCTCTCAAAGATATGACTCACTTCAAGAAAACTATAAGATCTTAGATATTACACACTAAGAGTTTGAATGAACAAACAAAAGGGTTTTTGATTAAAAGATTGATTGCCAAGGGTTCGTCCAGCACAATATAAAGGAAAAGGGAAGAAGAAGGAAGAAGAGATGAGTCAATGGAACAGGCTCCATGACCATCTCGGAAATACAAAAACAATAAAGAGAGTTTGAACTCATGCATTGGGCGGCAAGATATTCAAACTAAAAGGCCTGGGCCGGACCCAAACAACATGAAAGAAGAGATGATGAAGTGGGTCTTAGGCCTCATTAAAAACCTACCAAGGAAAACCCAAAGGGACAAAACCTTGGCAGGGAAAAAGAGCACACTAAGATCCACTTGCTTCTTTATCCCAAGTGTTGGGCTGTTCAAACAAACCAAGTGGAATGCTTAAGCTCATGATCTTGCCGACTCAAACGGCTAAGTACTCTTCCAATGTCTTGGTTGAGCAACTTAGTTTGGGACCTTGTAACTGGGACCAGTTGGTATGGTCAGTGCTTCCTCAGGTTCAAGCTGCTCCCTGCTACAAGCTCTCCAGCTGCTTCCTGGTCCAAGTTTAGCAACCTCCTCCATGATCATATCATCCCCTCCCTCTTGAAAAGGATTTGTCCTCAAATCTGGTTCATCTGCAAGAAAAGGAGAAAGATCAGTAACATTAAAACTTGAACTTATATTGTACTTACCTTGAAGATCAATTTGGTAGGAGTTGTTGTTGATTCTTCTGGTGATCTCAAATGGTCCATCTATCCTTGGCATAAGTTTGGATTTGCGCTCGGCCGGAAATCTCTCTTTGCGCAGATGGATCCAAACCTTGTCTCCCACTTCAAAGATCATCTCCTTTCGGCCCTTGTTGGCTTGTTGAGCATACTGCTTGGTTTTAGCCTCAATGTTCCTTCTGGCTTGCTCATGGATCTTCCTGACTGTTTCTGCCTTGTGCTTTCCATCTGTGCTTAATCTTTCACTCAAAGGCAAAGGCATCAAATCCAAAGGAGAGATGGGCTTAAACCCATAAACAATTTCAAAAGGAGAAAACTTAGAAGCAGAATGCACAGCATGGTTATATGCAAACTCAATATGTGGCAAACATTCATCCCAACTTTTAAGATTCTTTTTAATCAAGGCGCGCAACAAAGTTCCAAGAGTTCTATTAACAACTTCAGTTTGGCCATCAGTTTGAGGGTGACAAGTAGTAGAAAACAAAAGCTTAGTACCCAACTTAGACCACAAAGTTTTCCAAAAATAACTCAGGAACTTTGTATCACGATCAGAAACAATGGTGCGCGGCATGCCATGCAATCTAACAATCTCTTTAAAGAACAGAGCAGCTACATGAGATGCATCATCAGTCTTATGACATGCTACAAAATGAGCCATTTTTGAGAACCTATCAACTATCACAAAGATAGAATCTTTTCCAGTTCTAGTCCTAGGCAATCCAAGCACAAAATCCATAGATATATCAGTCCAGGGATGAGATGGAATAGGGAGAGGAGTGTACAAACCGTGGGTTGAACCTTAGATTTGGATTGTTTACAAGTTGCACATCTAGAACAAATCCTCTCCACATCTCTGATCATGTGCGGCCAATGAAAATGATCTCATGACTTGAAGTGTTTTGGCCACACCAAAGTGTCCCATCAAGCCTCCTCCATGTGCTTCCCTGACAAACAAATCCCTCAAAGAACAATTAGGCACACAGAGACGGTTCTCATAGAAGAGAAACCCATCTTGTCTGTAGTATCGGCCAAAAGCAAACTTAGAACAAGACTTATAGATCTCAGCAAAATCAGAATCAGAAGCATACAAGTCTTTTATCTGTTCAAAGCCCAAGAGTTTAGCATCAAGAGTTGAGAGAAGAGTGTACCTCCTGGACAATGCGTCGGCTACAACATTGTCCTTACCTTTTTTGTACTTGATGACATATGGGAATGTCTCAATGAATTCAACCCACCTGGCATGCCTCTTGTTGAGCTTCTGTTGGCCCTTGAGATGTTTGAGAGATTCATGGTCTGTGTGGATGACAAACTCCTTTGGCCAGAGATAGTGTTGCCAAGTTTGTAAGGCGCGGACCAAGGCATAGAGCTCTTTGTCATAGGTTGGATAGTTGAGAGTGGCTCCTCCAAGCTTTTCACTAAAGAAAGCAATTGGCTTCTTGTCCTGCATCAAGACAGCTCCAATGCCTATACCTGAAGCATCACATTCAATCTCAAAAGTTTTCAAGAAGTCAGGTAAAATAAGAACAGGGGCATTAGTCAAGCGATCCTTGAGAGCTGGAAAGCATCCTCCTGTGCTTTCTCCCACTTGAATCCAACTTCTTTCTTGATGACTTCAGTTAAAGGTGCGGCCAAGGTACTAAAATCACGGACAAACCGCCTATAGAACCCAGCTAGGCCATGGAAGCTTCTGACTTCACTCACTGTCTTAGGACTTGGCCATTCTCTGATTGCTGCAACTTTCTCTTCATCCACCTTGACTCCATCTGCACTCACAACAAAGCCTAGAAAAACCACATTATCTGTGCAAAAAGTACATTTCTTAAGATTGGCAAACAATTTTTCTTTTCTTAGCACAGACAGGACAGATGCAAGGTGATCTAGATGCTCTTCAAGGTTCTTGCTGTAAATCAAGATGTCATCAAAGTAAACCACAACAAAATGACCAATGAAGTTTCTCAGGATATGGTTCATTAAGCGCATGAATGTACTAGGTGCATTAGTGAGACCAAATGGCATGACAAGCCATTCATAAAGACCATGTTTAGTTTTAAATGCAGTTTTCCATTCATCACCTTCTTTCATCCTAATCTGATGATAACCACTTTTTAAATCAATTTTAGAGAAAATGCTAGAACCATGCAACTCATCAAGCATATCATCAAGTCTAGGGATAGGATGTCGATACTTTACAGTGATATTGTTGATGGCTCTGCAGTCCACACACATGCGCCAACTCCCATCTTTCTTGGGCACAAGAAGAACAGGAACAGCACAAGGACTCATGCTTTCCCTGATGTGACCCTTATCCATAAGCTCATCAATTTGGCGCTGGAGTTCTTTGGTTTCCACAGGATTGGTTCTGTATGCTGGACGGTTTGGAAGAGTGGATCCAGGGACAAAGTCTATTTGATGCTCAATGCCTCTGACTGGTGGCAATCCCTTGGGACAATCATCTGGAAACACATCCTGGAAATCCTGTAAAAGTTTGGACATCTCACTCGGAATCTCCGGTGCATTATCAATCAAGAGGTTAAATGATCCTTTAAAGATGAATAAGAGAAAAGGCTTATCAGAAACATGGAACTTTTAACCTGTTTGGATTTGGCCAGATAGTTCAGGACTTGTTGGATTTGGTTGGCTCCTTCTTGGCTTGAGGTTTAGTCTTTTGGCCACTCAACTGAACTTGATCTTCATACACCTCTTGAGGGGTTAAGGGAATGAGAGTGGTCTTACGCCCCTTGTGAAGGAAGGTGTACTTGTTTGTGAAAGCCATCATGCATACACGCCTATCAGATTGCCATGGCCTTCCCAGAATGATGTGTCCAGCATCCATAGGCAAGACATCACACAAGATCTCATCCTCATAGCTTCCTATAGATAGTGGCACGACCACTTGCTCCTTCACGCTCATATCTCCAGTCTCATTGATCCACTGTAGCTGATATGGCTTAGGATGTTTCTGAGTCACAAGACCAAGCTTCTCAACCATGGCCTCACTAGCCACATTAGTGCAACTGCCTCCATCAATGATTAAGCTGCAAACCTTCTCCTGGACAAGACAGCGAATGGAATAGGTTTTCTCTTTGCTCTTCCTTGTGTGTTTGGACTTGAGCGCTCAAGAGTCTTCTGGCCACCAGAAGCTTTCCCATGACAGGCACAGCCTCATACTCCTCTGGCTCTGGCTCTTGCTCTGGCTTGCTGAGCTTCTTCCTCAGACTCCACTTCTCCATTGTCTCTTATGAACATGATCTTCTTGTTGCGGCATTCATTGGCATAGTGTCCAAAGCCTTGACATCTGAAGCACTTAAGCTCGCGGGCTCTGGGGCAGAGTTGTACTGGACTTGTTCTTGTCCTTGTCTTGGTTGTAAGGGACTCCTCTGGCTCAGACTTTGGTGTGAAAGCCGGTTTGGAGTCTCTGGCATAGACAGGCCGGCGCTGATCAGTTCATCGCTGTTGAGCGTCTCCTCTTGAGTTGTTTCGGCCAGAACGCTTTGTGTAGCATAGACTCCAAGCCCACACAGTTTTGCATCTCCACAATGTCTTGGATCTCGCGGTTGAGCCCTCCAAGGAACCTGGACATAGTGGCTTCTCTGTCCTCAATCACATTAGCCCTTAGCATCATTACTTCCATCTCCTGGAAGTATTCTTCAACTGTTTTGGACCCTTGAGTGAGCCTCCTGAGCTTAGAATGTAGCTCTCTCTGATAGTAGCTAGGTATGAACCTCTGCCTCATGATCCTTGTCATCTCTTCCCAGGTAGAGACCTCAAGAGCTCCACCAATCTCTCTTGCGGTCACGATTTGTTCCCACCACCTTAGGGCATAGTCATTGAACTCAGAGACCGCCAGTTTGACTCTGTTGATGTTGGATATGTTGTGTAAGTTGAAGTTGAACTCACACTTCTTCTCCCAGTCCATGTACTCATCAGGATTGTTGTTGCCATGGAAAGGGGGAATCCGGATCTTGTATCCTCCAAGATTTTTGGTCTGGATCATCGCGATGCCTTCTAGAGCGGCGCCTGCTTCCTTGAGAGGAATGGCCACTGTTGTAGTAAGCATTGGCTTGCTCATCGGCCATCCTTCTTGAGGCCATAGGGTCATTCTCTCCTCATCCGAGATATGGATGTGATCTCTAGACTCCTTGCGCTTTCCTGCCTTAATTTGTTCCCTCCGTTCAAACTCTTCCCTCATGAGCTTCTTCATTGTTCCAGAAGGGATTCACTGAGACTCTTGTTCGAATCTTCTTCATCTTCCTTTCCATCCGCCATAGTACCTGAAACAACAGAAAGAACTCGGCAGTTAGGAGTTCAAAGGAAAAGATCAAGAAATAATTTTAGAAATTATGCAAACAATTTCTAAAAATATGGGAAAAATAGTAGATGGATAGATCTATGCTGAGAGNAGAGAGTTTCTCATGCATTGGGCGGCCAGATATTCAAACTAAAAAGGCCTGGGCCGGACCCAACATCATGAGACAAAGCAGAGATGTGAAAGTGGGTCTTAGGCCTCATTAAAAACCTACCAAGGAAAACCCAAAGGGACAAAACCTTGGAAGGGAAAAAGAGCACACTAAGATCCACTTGCTTCTTTATCCCAAGTGTTGGGCTGTTAAACAAACCATAGTGGAATGCTTAAGCTCATGATCTTGCCGACTCAAACGGCTAAGTACTCTTCCAATGCCTTGGTTGAGCAACTTAGTTTGGGACCTTGTAACTTGGCGAGTTGGTATGGTCAGTGCTTCCTCTGGTACAAGCTGCTCCTCTGCTTCAAGCTCTCCAGCTGCTTCCTGGTCCAAGTCTTTAGCAACCTCCTCCATGATCATATCAGTTTGCCAAGTGAAGACCCCATTGATCACCTTGATGAGTTTGATAGGCTATGTGATTTGACAAAGATCAATGGTGTCTCTGAGGATGCCATCAAGCTGAGACTCTTTCCCATGTCTCTTACTGACAAAGCTCACCAATGGGAGAAGAGCTTGCCCCATGGCACAATCACCACTTAGGATGAATGCAAGAAGGCCTTTCTTGCTAAGTTTTTCTCCACCGGTCGCACAGCCAAGCTGAGGAGTGAGATATCGAGCTTCATACAGAGGAACAATGAGACTTTTGCTCAAGCTTGGGAGAGATTCAAAGGCTACACAAGTCAGTGCCCCCATCATGGTTTCTACAATGAGTCATTGCTCTCTACTCTATATAGAAGATGCTTAGCAAGGTATAGAGAGATGTTAGACACAACCAGCAATGGGAACTTCCTCAATCAAGATGTGGAAGATGGCTGGCAACTTGTGGGAAACATCGCAAACTCTAATGGGAGTTATGGAGAAGAGGATGATCGCACCAACAGGAGCTCGACCCACCACTCGATCGAGTCGGATGAGAGATTGAGAAAAGATGTCAAATCGTTGAATGAGAAGTTGGATAAGCTTATCTTAGCTCAGTCCACAATGAAGAAGGTCAATTTTTTGTTTTCTGAAGAGATGGAACCAGTCCAAGAAGGGGAGGATACACAATTTGCTGAAGTGTGCTACATGAGCAATGGGCAAGGAGGTTACAACAAAGGCTACTATAATTACAAGTCCAACCCAGCCATGTCATACCGAAACACTGATGTTGCTAACCGTCAGTATCAAGTCTATCCTCAACAACAGCAAGCTCGATCGAGTCAAGCCCCACAACATGGGTATGGTCCTAAAAACAACTACCAAGGCCCTCAAGGGACTTTTCCTAGTCAGCAAATGCACATACCACCTGGCTTTCCCCGCCAACCACCCCAGCCGGCACCTACGCCTGAGAATGAGACCAGCTCGACCACCTACTCGACCACCCGGTCGAGTTTCCCAACTCGACCGGCCAAGCTTCAACTCGATCGAGCTGAGAAGTCAACAGTCAAACCCGAAAAATGTTCCTTCCCCCTTGACTTTCCTTTGACCCTAAACCTAAATTCTCTTGTATTTAAAGGCTGAAAGCCACGAAAAAACTACCAATCTTTAGCTTAATTTTTTTTTAGCTTTCTTTTAATTTATGGTCTTTACTTTTTGCAAAATCCTAGCCTCTCTTTGTCTTCTTGAGCTCTTGCTCTTGAATCTTAGATCTTGGCTCTATCTTTTTGTATTTGCACTTGTTTATTTCAATAAAAGTTATTCAGTTTGTTTTCCTCTTTTATATTATGTCTTCTTCATTGCATTTGATTGTGTTTACATTCATGTGTAGTGAGTAGTTTCCTTTAGGGTCAAAGATGGGCTAGATTAGGGGATCTTTATTCTTAATCCTTCTTGCTTATGTTCTTAATCTAGAAATCTCTCTCTTTTGGACAAACCTTAAGGCTACATGACCACTACCCCTGGCTTGTATGTCCATAGGATAGGTTATGATTTTTTGAAAATATTTCTATGCAAAAGATGAAAGAAAAACTAAGAACAAAGAAAACAAGGTTAAATCATCTCTTGAACCCTCTCCCAAACTTAAATCACACAGTCCCTTGTGTGAGAAAAATTTAGTGAAAGATTCAAGAGGGCAAAACCAAGAAAAAACAAGAACAAATGCAAGAAAATATGAAATGGTATATACAAGGGTTGGTGTTTGGATACCTCAGTGCCCCCCAAAGAACTGGGAGGCTAGGTCGCGGTCTGGTGATGGTAGACGGCCATCAGGAGCGCTCCATGCAACTGGGATTGCCTCACTCGGTCGAGCTTGCGGCTCCTCCTCTTCTTCTTCTTCATCTTCAAAGTGTGTGTGGCTCCCTTGGCCTTGGAGGAGCTGTGCTTGCTCGAAGCTGTTGTAGGGGGTCCAGTTGGTCTGGGAGAAGTCCTGGTACTGCGTTGGATCGTACTCGAATCCAGGGTTCTCAAACAGGGGCTCCTCCAGGTCAGCTCGACCCTCAGCTCGATCGAGTTGAGTTTCCTCTGTTTGGACTCGATCGAGTCCGGTGGTCGAGCTGGAGCGTCTGGCCTTGGAAGTCTTCCTCCTTCTCTGCGTGTTGTCTTCTCCTTCCCTTGGCTCGAAAGAAGAGGCTCTGTGAGGTTCTTGCGTGGAGAGCCTCCTTTGAGTGGTGAGGAGTGACCTACTCCTAGGGAAAGTGGGGGCCATGGGTCCCTTCTTCTTCTTGCTTGAAGAACCAGAAACTTTCTTCTCCAAGCTTTTGATCTTGCTCACCATCTTATCCATGGACTTTTGCATCTTTCCATGGCCTTCCCTTGCCACTTGTGAACCTTTGGAGAGTCCAATCCTCTTGTGGGCAGCCACAACAGAGGGGTTCATCCTTGGAGCCTCATACTCCTCAAAATAATAGCACTCAGGCTCACCCAAATGCACTCTCCTGGACTCGATCTTCAGCTTGAATCTCAGCTCGATCCTCAGCTCGATCGAGCTCGGCTCCTCTTCTTGCAAATCCGCTTCATGCCCAATCAAAGTGTACACAGGGGGTCTGAAGTCAATGTTTGTACCTCCTAGACCGTGGTGAGCTCAGGGTTGGGCAGAAGAAGCTTGGAGGGCCAGCCAAGGATGGTGAACTTGAATTGGAACCTCCCATCCAACTCCTTGTGCTCAATGAGAGGTTGGTCTTGCAAAACTTGATGTCCATCCAACCTGGTGGAGTAGACCTTCTCTTGTCCAGTGGACTCCAGCTGCACAAGGATAGGTGTGATGACCCTCCAACACTAAGCTTCCTTCCCTTTGATGCCTAGTGTTGTAAGCCGTGACCTTGTAACTTGGAGCTGCTCAAGGAGAGGCATGAGATTCCCTGTGTGAGATCTGCTCTGTCTCCTCTGATCTTCTTCCCATCCTTGTGCGTGAGATGATGGGCTTGATTCCCATGTCAAGGAGCTTCACTTCTCCTCATTGATTGTCCCAGTGGCTTTCCTTGCAAAGAAGGTGTTGGCAAGTGCCTTGTGGACATATCTCAAGCACAGGGCTCCTGATCTGAGCAGCCTTGGACCTTGAGGAAGAGTACACTCCATCAGCGATTGTAGCCCAACTCCTTTGGAGTTCATTTTCCTTGATGTTCCATAGATTTCCTTCTCCATAGTGAACCCAAACAGTATCTCAAGCTGCCTAAAGGTCACCATCTTCTTCTCTCCCTTTGCCAAGAAAGTTATGTACCCCCAGCCTTGGTCCAACTCAGCTCGATCGAGCTCATCAAACTGTGATACCTCATCGATGCCAAAAACTCACAAGTGAGCTCCTTGTAAGACTCCATGCGGTGAGAGAAGAACTTCCCAATGCATGTTCTTGAGCACCAACTCCACATCCTCAAAGATCCCAAGGGCCTCTCATGGTGTCATCATGTGGGTACTTGGTCTCCACAAAGTCCATGGAGAAGAGAGCATTGTAGTGCTCTTGGTACATGGGGAGCTCATCCTCCTCCTCTGTTCAGCCTCCTCCATGGTCATCTTGGTTCCCCTCTTGATCTTCATCAACCAATTGGTTCACCTCTTCTCCTTCCTCTTCACTCTCAGTCTCATCACTTCCTTCTTCATTTGGAGAACCATTTCCCTCCTCTTGAACAAGGTTCACTCCAATCTCAAACTCCTTGCTCACTCTCACTACTAATGGGTCATTCCTCTTCTTGGTCCTCCTTTCTTCCCTCAATCTCTCACTCTCAGACTGTTCCTCAGAGTAGACATACTCCTCTGCATCAGACTCTTCCATCCTCTGATCATCCTCTCCAAATCGGCTTGCATCTTAAGCCTTTCTCTCTTGCATTGCTTGATTCACCCTCAACCATTCTCCTTGTGAAGCACGACTTCCCTCACTGTTTGTCATCTTGTTACACTGTTTCTTCACTAAAGTACCTGAAATGCATCAAAGATTACAAAGAATTAGAGTTGTAATGATCGGTTTGGTCAACTCGACACTCAGCTCGATCGAGTCAAAAAACTCGAGTGACAAACTCGATCGAGCTAGGGTGAAAACAGAGTATAACCAAACCTAATTCAAGTATTAAGAGCTGGAAAGGATGCTAATCAATCAAATTGAACCAAGAACAACTAGTAAATGGAACAATGAGCAATTCTAGTGAAACACTAAGCATCTTAACCAATACCAAACTCAAATTCAATTTTCAAGCACATGCAACAAGTTTTAATGGCAAAACAGAGGTGAGGTGAGGCAAATTCAACAAGATTATAAGCAGGAAATGAATGAGGCAATTACTCAAGAACAAGTCCACAAGGGACACATGCAATCAAAAATCAAAGAGAAACAAGCAATATGAAATCGAGATGGAAGAATCAAGGGTTTTAGGGTTCATACCTTGCTTGAATGATGAATTGAAGAACAGTAAACTAGAACCCAAAGAAAAGATGAAGAACAAGAGGAAATCGCAAAAACTTAAGAGAGAAAGAGGAAATTCGAAATTTTTCTTGTGGTGAGAGAGAGAGAGAGATGGTTTCAGAAATTTTAAGTGTGGGGAGTGGAGAAGTGGATTCGATCGAGTTATGGGGAAGAGGGAGTGTTTGAGATGTGTGGTTGAGATTAAAAGATGAAATAAAGAGGGACAAGAAGCTAGGGTTTTCTGATCAAATTAGGGTAGTGGGGGACCAAAATCAGCTTGTGGGACCCACTCCCTTGACCAAGAAAACGGTTATGAATTTGAAATTCAAAAACTTACCTCGGTCGAGTTGGGAACTCGATCGAGTTGCCCTGTTTCTAGCTCGATCGAGCTATCGGTCGAGCTGGCTCCTTTGTCACCTAAACTTAACTTATTGAAAGGTTAAAAACATAAAGATAGATAGAAATTGCATAAATAGAGTATGTACAAGGATAAACATGGGACTTCCTCCCAAGTGAGCTTGTTTAAGGTCCCATAGCTTGACCTTTACCTTTTAGGCATTGGTTGAGCTAGTCCCACCATCAAGGGTGATAGTGAGGACTTGAGACAGAAGCTCCTTTAGCTTGGTTGGGTCCCTGGATTGTTCTGAAGTCACCAAGGCTTGGCTCTAGAGAATGGCCTTGATCTCCCCTTGTACCTTATCTTGTACTCAATCTTCCCATTTTCAAACTTGGTGGGGAACAAAGTCATTGTGAGCTGAGATGGCTTGATGAAGGGGCCTGAGCTGGTGGATCTTTTCTTTTATCCCTGGTCTTGCCTTAGAGGCTACATCCTCCCCTTCTTTTAGAGCCCTTCCTAGTGGCTCATCAAACAAAGCTTGAAGGCTCTCTTCATCAAGCACACAAGGGGCTTGAACAAGTCTCAGCTCGTGGCCTATCAGAACGTGGTTTCTCAACTCTAGCCCTCTCAAGACGTGGCTTCTCAATCCTTGGTCCTCTCTCATCCTTATCCTTCCCAACTCTTGGTTCTTTGTCAACCCTTTCCTTCACAACCTTTGTAGCTCCATGACTCTTAGAACTGAGAGTGGTACTGTCAATTGTGGCACAAAAGTCTGAACCTCTAGGCTGCAAGCGATATGACACCAAACTATTCACCTTGTGAAGGATCACTTCTTGCTTGTGAAAGTCTATTGAAGCGCCAACTGTACTAAGGAAAGGGGTTCCCAATAACAGAGGTAATCCTTCTCTTCTTCCATTTCCATCACAGTGAGATCAGTTTGGATGATGCATTCTCCAATTTTCAAGTGATAGTTCTTGAACACTCCAAGAGGAGACTTAGAAGTTGCATCTCCAAACATGATTGAAGTAGTAGGGCGCTGCAAGGCTCCAGCAATGCCTAGCTTCTCTGCCATGGAGAGAGAGATCAGATTGATGCTTGCTCCAGAATCCACTAAGGCATTGTCAATCTCAAGATGCCCAAGTGTGCAAGGGAGAGTGAATTTCCCTTGATCCTTGACCTTTGGTAGGAAGGTGGGTGAAGTAAGCAGGTTGAACTGATGAGTAGACTCTTGTAGGACCTCTGAAACTTTATCACTGTTGGCTAGAACATCCTTGACCATTTGCATTTGATCAAATGCCTCACTCATGCTATCCATAGGAGGCAACTCAATTCCAATCCCACTGAGATCTCTTCTGAACTTGTGAATCACTTCCTTGTGACCTTGACTAAGTAGGCGAGACGAGGAAGCGGCAACCGGTTGGTAAGGATCAAGCAAAACAGGCTGTCGGACAGAAGAGGTCGGACTCGATCGAGCTAGAGTTGGACTCGATCGAGCTGCCGATCGAGCTTGTTGTGCGAGCTCAACTGGTGAAGTGTGAATGGCCACAGTAGGTGCCTGCACTTCTGGTTGATCAATCTGGACTCCAGGAGCCTCAGCAGCAACAATCTCTTCATCATTCAGCAGTAAACAAAAATCTTCAATGACCCTTTCTTGATCCTCTTCTTCAACAAGTCCTTCTTGAGTGAAGATGACCTTGCACTGTTCCTTGGGGTTCTGAATAGCTTTACCAGGTAGTTGTCCTTGCTTTGTAGCAGCAGCAACAGAAGAAGCATGATTCTCCAGAGAGTAAACCCTTGTGTTGAGGTTCTCGATCTTAGAGTTTATTTCAGCTAGCTTCTTGCTTGTGTCCACTACCCCATCAGCTTGCCCTTGAAGTAGTTGCTTTAGCATTGCCTTGAGCTCATTCTCTTGTGAAGGTGCAGGCTGGGGCGGTTGGTGGGGGAAGCCTGGTGGGATATTCATTTGTTGTCCAGGGAAAGTGCCTTGTGGTCCTTGGTAATTGTTCTTTTGACCATACCCATGTTGTGGCACCTGACTCGATCGAGCTGCTTGTTGTTGAGGATATACTTGGTCCTGAGGGTTAGCAACATCAGTGTTGCGGTATGACATGGCAGGGTTGGACTTGTAATTATAGTATCCTTTGTTGTAACCTCCTTGCCCATTGCTCATGTAGCACACCTCAGCAAATTGTGTATCCTCCCCTTCTTGGACTGGTTCCATCTCCTCAGCAGACACAAAGTTGACTTTCTTCATTGTGGACTGAGCTAGGATCAGCTTATCCAACTTCTCATTCAATGCCTTAACATCTTTTCTCAACTTTTCGTCTGACTCGATCGAGTGGTGGGTCGAGCTCCGGTTGGTGCGATCATACTCTTCTCCATAGCTTCCATTTGAGTTAGCTATGTTCTCCACAAGTTGCCAGCCATCATCTACATCCTGGTTGAGGAAGTTCCCATTGCTAGCTGTGTCTAGCATCTCCCTATACCTAGGCAAGCATCCTCTATAAAGAGTGGAGAGTAGGATTCATTGTTGAATCCATGGTGTGGGCACTGACTTGTGTAGCCTTTGAACCTCTCCCAAGCCTCTGCGAATGTCTCATTGTTTCGCTGGATGAAGCTGGATATCTCTCCTCTAAGCTTGGCTGTGCGACCGGTGGAGAAAAACTTAGCAAGAAAGGCCTTCTTGCATTCATCCCAAGTGGTGATTGTGCCATGGGGCAAGCTCTTCTCCCATTGGTGAGCTTTGTCAGCTAGAGACATAGGAAAGAGTCTCAGCTTGATGGCATCTTCAGAGACACCATTGATCTTTGTCAAATCACAAAGCCTATCAAACTCATCAAGGTGGTCAATGGGGTCTTCACTTGGCAATCCATGGAACATCTTGTTCTGGACAAGGTTGATCATTCCCAGCTTGATCTCAAAGTTGTGGTTCTGCACTGGTGGTGGAACAATCCCTTGTCTCTGTTGGTGGCGGTTTGGAGCATCTCCTTGACCAATCGGTCGAGTTTGCCTAGCTCGACCGAGTCCATTGCCCAAAGGGTTTCCATTCCCCTCTGGTACATCCATTGTATCAGCAACAAGCACCTCAGGTTCCTCTTGTACCCTCTGTGACCTCTGAACCCTCTTTCTACCCGTTGTAAGTCTAGCTCGACCAAGTCCTCAGTAGACCGACTCGATCGAGTTCGCATACACCTGCAAAAAGAGACAAAAACCCAGCAGTACAATAGAACAGGGGTGGTATAGCTTGATCGTCCAAGTGTGTTTGAAACTCAAATGCAACAAAAATATTCCCAAATCGGCAACGGCGCCAAATTGATGATAGGATTTGTGTGTGGATGTGAAAAGATATGAAATGAGATGATGGAATGCAACAGTGGTATATGATGAGGTGGTAAGATGCAAACACAAACACAGTCAACAATTCCCTTTAACCATGATAGTTGATGTAGTACAAAGGGTTATCAATCCAAAATGGGAAACTTGTCACTCTATGAGAATATGAAACAACCAGGAAGTCAAGCAAGCAGTAATAGATTTGAAGTAACACTAACAACCTAAATAAAAAATGAAATGCAAAAGTAAATAAAGCAAAGTAACAGCTCGACCAAGACTCGAGTCGAGTCAGAACAAAGTACCAGCTCGATCGAGTTTAGGGACGAGTTGAGACAAAAAAGCTAAAGGTGACGACTTTAACAAGATAAGAGAGAATTAGGGTTCAAGACAGGGTTTTGCAATCAAAGGAATCTACACTTAATCAATCTAGCTCTTAAAACTCCTTGTATCAAGGCTTCTCTTGATATTGGGCTTCTCAATGCCTAGCCAACCCTTTCCCAAGGTGAAGGCTATCAACCAAGGAATGATCTCAGAAACAGGGGGTTAGCCAGTGAGAATCAAACCTTGGAGGCTATAGGATCATTGCCCAAACTAATCCATCCAACCCCTTAGACCTCTATTTCTAGAGCAAGAGATATTGGAGCTCTTAGTGGATCTTTTCCAGCGAATGCCATCACTTCGTGTGGGGAGTCGCCTAAGGACTTACAAGCCAGGGGTAGTGGTCATGTAGCCTTAAGATCTATCCAAAAGAGAGAGAATCTAGATTAAGACCATAAGCTAGAAGGATTAAGCATATGAAACCTCTAATCTATCCCATCTCAAACCCTAATGGGTAACTACTCACTACACATGAATGTAAACACAAGCAAATGCAATAAAAGAGACATCATAAGAAAGAGGAGATGAAATTAAACAACTTTTATTGAAATAAGCAAGTGCAAATACAAAGAGATTATCCAGGATCTAGATTCAAGAAGCAAGAGCTTCAAGAACACAAAGATGGGATTAGATCTCTAAAAAGTAAAAGACAATAAATTAAAAGAAACTAAAACAAAATAATCTAAAGCTTGGTGGTTTTTTCGTGGCTTAGAGCCTTTAAATACAAGAGGATTAGGTTTAGGGTCAAAGGAAAGTCAAGGGGGAAGCAACATTTTTCGGGTTTGACTTTGACTTCTCAGCTCGATCGAGTTGAAGCTTGGCCGGTCGAGTTGAGGAACTCGACCGGTTGGTCGAGTAGACGGTCGAGCTGGTCTTCAAGATGGCTTCTCCCTTCTTCCTTTGCGTATCCAGTTGAGCTGCTTCCATGTGCCAAGTCCCTCCATGCTCCTCATGTCCCATATGCTCCAGAATGCTCCAAAAGACCTATTTCAAAGGACCAAACATGCATATGTATGCAAATGCAACCTAAAACTAACATGAATGCATAAGAAGAGAAAAGGAACAAGATATGATGCAAATGGAAGCTAAAACTATGCAAAAGATGCATAAAAGATGTGCTAAAACTATGTAAAATGCAAGTACATCACAAAGCAAGGCCACTTTCTTGAGAGATCCCTGTTACTAAACCACCAAACACTCAAAAGAGACCCCTTTGTCTCTTAACCCATAAACCCTTGAAACCAAATGAGTTGATTGATCTTGCATGTTTTTGGTTCACTGTTAAAGGGATTTGCTGATTTGAATGCATTGTTTGAGTGACTGTGAAGTGGGATTGATGTTGATAAGCATGGTTAAAATCTTAATGAATATCTCTCACCTTGTTGCATTCTAGAATCTCTAAGTTGGACATTTAGCAAATCGCTTTTGAGGACATGTTTTTAAGGTTGAATCAACTTGTTTTCAAACCTCATCTCTTTCTTGTTCTATTTGTTTGCTTGAGGGCAAGCAAAGGTCAAGTTTGGGGGTGTTGATGTACTTGCATTTTGCATAGTTTTAGTACATCTTTTATGCATCTTTTGCATAGTTTTAGCATCCATTAGCATCATATCTTGTTCCTTTTCCCTTCTTATGCATTCATAGTAGTTTTAGGTTGCATTTGCATACATGTGCATGTTTGATCCTTGAATAGGTCTTTTGGAGCACTTTGGAGCATTGGGACGTGAGGAGCAAGGAAGGACTTGGTGCATGGACGCAGCTCAACCGCACAAGCAGGATGAAGAAGGAAGCCATCTTGAAGTCAGCTCGACCCATCTACTCGACCGGCCAAGTTCAACTCGATCGAGCTGAGTCAAACCCGAAAAATGTTGCTTCCCCTTTGACTTCCCTTTGACCCTAAACCTAATCCTTCTTGTATTTAAAGGCTTGTGCCACGAAAAAGAAACAATCTTTAGCTTATTTTTTGTTTTAGCTTTTCTTAATTGTATTTTACTTTTTGCAAAACCTTAGCCTCTCTTTGTGTTCTTGAGCTCTTGCTCTTGAACCTTAGATCTAGGCCTTATCTTTTGTATTTGCACTTGCTTATTTCAATAAAAGTTTTAGTTTCATTCCCTCTTTCATATTATGTCTCTTTCATTGCATTTGATTGTGTATTTCATTCATGTGTAGTGAGTAGTTCCTTAGGGTCCAAGATGGGCTAGATTAGAGGATCTTATGCTTAATCTCTTTTGCTTATGTTCTTAATCTAGAAATCTCTCTCTTTTGGACAAACCTTAAGGCTACATGACCACTACCCTGGCTTGTATGAGTCTAGGCGATTTTCCTCATGGAAGTTGGGAAATCGCTTGAAAAGGTCCACTAAGAGCTCCAATATGCTTGCTCTCGAAATGGAGTTATAGGTGTTGGATGGGTTAGTTTGAGCAATGATCCTACTGCCTCTAAGGCTTGATTCTCACTGGCTAACCCCCTGTTTCTGAGATCTTGCCTTAGATGATAGCTTTCACCTTGGGAAAGGGTTAGCTAGGCTTGAGAAGCTCAATACCAAGAGATAGCTTGATACAAGTGGTTAAGAGCAAGATTGATTAAGTATAGTCTTCCCCTAGTCGCAAGACCCTGTCTTAGACCCTATTCGCATTATTGTTAAAGTTTGTATCTTTATCGCTTTTCTCTGTTTTTACTCTAACTCGACCCTCAACTCGATCGAGCTCAGTTACTCTGTTCCACTCGATCGAGCTTGGTCGAGCTGCTTTATTTACTGCTTTTTACTTGCATTTCATTTCATTAGGTTGTTAGAGTTACATCCATCTTTACTGCTTGCTTGACTTTCTTGTGTTTGCATATTCTCATAGAGTAGCAACAAACCCTTATGGATTGATAACCTCTTATACTACATCGACTATGATGGTTAAGAGGAATTGATTGATTGATTGTGATTGCACCATACCATCTCATCTTCATTACCACTGTTTGCATTCCACCTCATATCATTTCATATCACCCACACACAAATCCTATCATCAGTATCTTGGTGGATACACTTGGTCTTGAGGGTTCTCCACATTGGTGCTCATATAAGACATGTTGGGGTTTGGTCGATAGCTTGGATTGTATCCCTTGATATTGTTTCCAATGTAGTTAACATCTTCTTCATTATCTTCATAAGAGAAATCTCCCATGCACTCTCTTGATGGGTCATCATTCGCATCACGTATTTGTTCTATTGCATTGATTTGCTTGAGCTGCCCTTTAAGAACTTGAATGATCATGATCTTGAGTTCAGCCATCTGAGAAACATCAGGGGAATTTGTGGTGGTGCGACTTGTGCGGTCATAATCAGGACAGTTGTTGCAATCACTAGCTGCAAGATTCTCGATCAGAACCTTAGCTACATCAATTGTCTTGGTCATGAAGTTTCCATTGCTTTCAGTATCAAATGAAAGATTGTACTTGTGGTCTATACCACGATAGAAGATATTCCATAGGTTTCTGATGCGGCATCTATGGGATGAGTACAAGTAATAATTCCCTAAGACAACTAGTGTTGCAAGTGCACAACATATAATTGTAGTATTTAGGGGTCGAACCACAAGGGATTGGATTTCACACATTACATAATCATAGAGTTTAAAGATCTAAGCTAAATCAAAAGATGCAAGGGTTTGTGTTTGTTTAGAACACGCAAAAGAAATAACAATGCAATTCTATACAAGCAACATTATTGAACTATTGAAAACTCTTTTGAAAACATGAGCCAAGTCGATTGAAAAGTTTGTTAAAATCCGATTCTTTTGAACTCAAAACACTAAGGAAGGATTATTCCACTTTCGTGGTTCCAATCCCCTATGTCTCTTAAACCAATGGGCTCAGCTTTCGTTGGTCATTGTAGAGTGAGACATGCATTACATCCAAGTAATGATTGTTCACAAAACTCTTTAGGTCTACTTTCGTAGCCTAAAACGATTTGCCCATCAAATACTATATCCGGAGATATAACAAGCTTTTGGAGAGTATATCAACCTAAAATCAAGTCACTAGTTAGCTACTCTAGCAACAAGCATTAAGCATAAATAAAGATGGAGAACCATAGGGTTTCCCCTTTTAACAATCGATTTTCGATGGCCATTATATCACGTCCTCATTGGAAGGATCCATAATTCAACAATGAGTCATAGATAGTAGATGAAGTCTCATGAATCCTTAGAGAGAGAGGCGGCGGAATATGACTAAACCGCCTCACCCTTAGGGAGAAATCTCTACTTCTAGACTATATAAATTGAAACATGCAAGCTATATACAAATGCAAAAGAAGAAAAGAAAGAAGAAGGAGACCACCTAAGTGGCTCCGAACTTTATTGAATAAGTGTTTCTTGTTGTGGTGATTATTACAAGAGGCTAAAAGCAAGTATATATAGGTAGAGAGCGGGTCTAGGTCGGCAAAGTTGAGCGCGCGCAGAAGAGGAAAGTTTCCATTTCTCTTTAGCCGCTTGAGCTTGCTCTCCAAGTTCTTGAATGGGCCGTTCAGGCCAATGGAAGCTTCTGGATTGAGTTATGCTAGTGTCAAGATGAGCCAAGGCCTTGGGCGCGGTATCTCGGGCCTCTTGATCCATCAAAGTCTCCATGGGCTCTACTTAGGCGCTCGTCGGACATGTCTTGGTAGAAAATAAGTTCCGGTCCAACGAGTGATCCAAATGACCTCTTTCCACTTCGCCGCGGGTCATGACTCAAATATCTATCTTTCCATATAAGAATCATGACTTTTGGACGTCGGGAAGGCATGAATATGCGGTCGTACTTCGGATGCTCCGGTTTGGTCTTTAGCGAGAAATGTAGATTTGGTGCTCTAGACTTGGGAACTTGGTGATTTGACTCTTTTGCTCCATTTTGACTCTTCTTTGCTATTTTGACCTGAATGATGCTCAAAACCAGAATATACAAGAAAACTACCTCTTGGGCAAAAAACCACATTATTTGTATTAAAAACATAGTGAAAACCTTGATAAAAACATGAAAGATATGGATATATCAACTCCCCCAGACTTAGCCTTTTGCTTGTCCCCAAGCAAACTAAGAGAGGAAGAGAGGTTTGAAAACGCAAGAACTCTCAAATCATTAGGAAATCCGGGTTGGCTTGGTTTTAGTAATCCACATGAAAGTAGTAAAGGCAAATATTTGAATTAAGAACAAGAGTACATACCATGAGTTTTGCGATTTTTCCAAGGCGGCCCACCTCTCTTTGGACAATCCAATTCACCCTCCTTGACTCCTTTCATTTCTAAAGGTGTGGTCTCAACTAGGGAGTATCGATCAGCCGGCTTTAGACTCTTACTCATCCCCTTGTTTTGGCACTTGTCTTTTTCTCATCTCCTCTCTTCTTTCACTAGCGAAGTATTTTTTTTTTATATATATTCAACTCCTTCTCTTTATTATAGAGGTTTTGCTTGGATCTTCCACAGACGCGAGTATTGATGGTGTTTGCCACCGAATCCCCGGTTGCTTGGATTCATAGGCCTTCCATAGACGCGAGTATTGATGGTGTTTGCCACCGAATCCCCGGTTACTTGGACCTTACGCTTTTTCTTTAAATTGAAGGGGAGAGAGAGGGAAGCACGAACTCACTAAGACTTTTTCATTTGATGGAGAGGATGAGGAATCATGCCATTTGTATGCCAAGCCCCTAGCTGAGAAGATTAAGTTCATTAAGGGCGGAGTCAAGAGTGGATCCTTCTCAAGTCCTTGGAGGTGTGGGCGTTTTTGGTAGATCGATCAACTCATAGTGTCCCTGTGGTAAGATGTATTGCCAAGACTGCTTCAATGGTCACTTAAACGTTAGCACAACAATGGTTAGATCCAAGATAAGGTCATAATCCTTTGACAAAATTTTGACTCAATAAAACGACTCAATGAAATTCAAAAAGAACAAACTTGTTAGTAATCCCCCCAGACTTAACTTGCACCGTCTCGGTGTAAGAAAAATCCAATTAAGAGAGGTAATGATAAATGAAAAAAGTTAGAGTTTGTAGAAAATTGTACCCAAATTTTTGGCCTTTGGTGAAGATCGGTTGTGCATGAGTTGCTTCCAGGATGAACTGACTGGTGCAAACATCATAGCTGTTGGATTTGGTTGGATGAATGTGACAATTCTCCCTTGGTTTTCTGTTTTTCGCCTTTTTGGCCGAGACTGGTCCGTTTTGGTCGACCGGATGGTGATGGTATGGACTACAGCTCGAACCGTGAAGATTTCCTCGACCTATCTTGAAATTTCGTCGACCAATATTGTATAATATGGCGACTGGTGAAGTTTGGGGTCGTTTGAACGAGTGGTTTGAGACTTCCTTTGAAAAAATTTCAAATCGGCTGATGATAGGATTTTACGGTGATATGTGATGGAATGAAATGGTGTAAATGATATGATATGAGGTGGAATGCAAACAGGGGTGAATAAAGATGAGATGGTATGGTGCAATCACAATCAATCAATTCCTCTTAACCATCATAGTCGATGTAGTATAAGAGGTTATCAATCCATAAGGGTTTGTTGCTACTCTATGAGAATATGCAAACACTTGAAAGTCAAGCCAAACAGTAAAATGATAGGGGAAGTAACTCTAGCAACCTAATGAAATGAAATGAAAAAGGAAAAGCAGTAAATAGAAGCGGCTCGACTAAGAGCTCGATCGAGTAGAAACAGAGTAACATGGCTCGATCGAGTTGAGGGTGGAGTTGAAGTAAAAACAGAGGAAATGCAATAAAAAGCGGTAAAGGTGAAAACTTAAGACTACTAATACGAAGGTTAGGGTCTAAGACAGGGTCTTGCGATTAGGGGAAGGCTATACTTAATCATTCTTGCTCATTAACCACTTGTACTCAAGCTATCTCTTGGTATTAATCTTCTCTAGCCTAGCTAACCCTTTCCCAAGGTGAAGGATATCATCTAAGGCAAGATCTCAGAAACAGGGGGTCAGCCAGTGTGAATCAAGCCTTATAGACAGTAGGATCATTGCTCAATCTAACCCATCCAACACCTATAAACTCCATTTCGAGAGCAAGCATGTTGGAGCTCTTAGTGGACCTTTTCAAACGATTTCCCAACATTCCCATGAGGAAAACCGCCTAGACTCATACACAGCAGGGTCAGTGGTTGTGTAGCCTTAAGGCTTGTCCAAAAGAGTGAAATTTTAGGTTAAGAACATAAAGCAAGAGAGATTAAGCATAAGAATCCTCTGGTCTATCCCATCTTAAGCCCTAAAGAGAACTACTCACTACACATTGCGAAATACATGATGAAATGCAATGAAAGAGACATTAAAAGATAGAGGAAATGAAACTAAAGAACTTTTAATGAAATAAGCAAGTGCAAATACAAAAGGATAAGGCCTAGATCTAAGGTTCAAGAGCAAAAGCTCAAGAACACAAAGAGAGGCTTAAAAGTAAATACAAAATTAATTAAAAAGCTAAAACAAAAGTGAAGCTAAAAAGAGGTAAAAAGAAGCTTAATTTTTCGTGGCTAAAAGCCCTTAAATAGAAGGAGGATTAAGTATAGGGTCAAAGGGGAGTTAAAGAGAAACAACATTTTTCGGGTTTGACCATTGACTCCGTAACTCGATCGAGTTGTGCTTGCCCGGTCAAGAAATTGGCTATGCTTTGGCAGAAGGCTAAGTGTTAGAACCAAAGATGATGCAAGAGCAGCAACTCGAGCGAGTCTGAACCCAGAGTTTAAAGAACAAATCCTAACTACCCTTTTTGGCATTTCGCCTTTGAAACAGAGGAGCTTTGCTCACTTTTCTTTTAAGAACAACACAGGGAGAGGCTTCTTGAGGTAACATCTAGCGGTTTGGGATTTTCTAAACACTTAGGGAACTTTTTCTTTTCTTTTTACACTTGAGGCTTTGCCTTCTTTTCTTTACTACTTAGAACCCTTTTTCTTTCTTTTTAACTTCCCAAACCTTTACTAGACCCTTTTTAAACACTGCCAACTCCCTGGACTTAACTAAACTCTTTTTCTTTGTTTTCCCAACTTTTACCACTTTTCTGGTTTTTACACCCAACTCGATCGAGTCCAGGGCACCCCCAAACTTAGCCTGAAAACAACCCAAGAGAACTAGATAACTAGAACTACTCCTGCCGGTTTAAACACAACACCTTATGCTAAGCAAAGCCAAGAAAGGTTCTCACAATTCGCACAAGAGATAATATGGGGTTTGAAATGAAAAAGGCTTAGGTTTAAGGTGTGGTAACTGTCTCAAAGATGGAGATCAGCTATCTGGACAAGCAAGAGGGATATGAAATAGGCAAAGAATGTCCAGATATGTATGTGGTAGCCATGAGTTGAAATCAAATGCAAGCATTGGTAATTAAAGATCAAGTTATGGTTCAAATAGATAGGGAAATGCATCAAATCACAGCAATGGTTGAATGAGATGTGCATGCAGTGATATGATCAAGATAAACATGGTTCTTGTTGCTCAATCAATCTCACCCTAATGCACAAAAGAATCTAGAAATAGGGCACTTAAGAAATCGCAAATGATGAACAAGTTTCAAGATCAAATCAACAATGCACAATAAAAACAGAGGTGAATGATGCAATCCTAAACAAATCTAACAAATATGAATGCAAAAAGATGAAAATATTTTTGGATTTTTGAAAATTTTATGATTTTTTTGTGTTTTTCTATGCAAATAGATGAATGAAAAACTAAGAACGAAAAACAAGGTTAAATCATCTCTTGAACCCTCCCCCAAACTTAAATCACACAGTCCCTTGTGTGAAAGAAATTTATTAAAGATTCAAGAGGCAAAAACCAAGAAAAAGAAAGAAAAATGCATGAAAATGAAATGGTATTTACAAGGGAGGTGTGTTTGATACCTTTGTGCATCCCAAAGAGCTGGGAAGCAGGGTCATTGGACCGAGAGGGCAGCCGACCATTAGGAGCACTCCATTCAACCATATCCATGCAGCTCGATCGAGCTTGCGGCTCCTCCTCTTCATCCTCAGTGGAGCTACTTTGGCCTTGGTGGAGCCTGGTTCGCTCAAAGCGGTTGTAAGGAGTCCAGCCGGTCTGATGGAAGTCTTGGTAAGGCGCTGGATCATACTCAAACCCATAGTTCTCGAATTCCAGCTCCTCAGGGTCAACTCGACCATCAGCTCGACCGAGTTCGGTTTCCTCTGTTTGGACTCGATTGAGTCCACTAGTCGAGTCAGAGCGTCGGACTCGTGAACTCTTCCTCCTCTTCTGCTTGTTGGCCCCTGCCTCTCTTGGCTCGAATGATGAGGCTCTGGGAGGGTCTTGGGCTGGGAGCCTCCTTGGTGTGGTTAGGAGAGAGCGACTCCCAGGGAATGGAGAGGTGAGAAGTGCTTTGTTCTTCTTGGATGAAGAACCAATGACCTTCTTCTCCAAGCTATTGATCTTGCTCACCATCTTATCCATGGACTTTTGCATCTTCTTCATAGCCTTCCCTTGCCACTTATTGAACTTTTGGAGAAGTCCAATCCTTTTGTGAGCAGCCACAACAGAAGGGTTCATCCTTGTAGCTTCATACTCCTCAAAATAATAACAATCAGGCTCGCCTAACTCCTCATTGACAAGCGCTCGATCCTCAGCTCGATCGAGTTCAGGCTCCTCTTCTCGCATCTCATCCTCATAACCCAACTAATGTGTGAAGTGGAGGGCAAAAGTCAATACTGTTACCTCCTCTGACTGTTGTGAACGCAGGGTTGGGCAGGAGCATCTTGGAGGCACCAGCTGTGGGGTGTTTGAATAGGATTGGTATTTCCCATTCACTACCTTGTGATCAATGAGGAGGTTGGTCTTGCAAAACTTAATGTCCATCCAACCAGGGGGTGTAGCCTTAAGGTGACATGGATTCACACCAACTGCACAAAGAATCGGTGTGATGAGTCCTCCAATGCTTAGCTTCCTCCCTTGTTGAAATCGAGTGTTGTAGGCCGTAGTCTTATAGGTGAGGAGTTGATCAAGGAATGGCATACGGTTTCTTGTGTTTGAGGTGTCCCCACGGATCTTCCTTCCATCGTTTGTGTAGGAGAGGATGGGTTTGATCCCCATGTCAAGTAACCTGAGCTCTCCCTCATTGATTGTGCCGGTTGCTTTCCTTGCAAAGAAGGTGTTGGAAAGCGCCTTATGCACATACCTCAACACAGGGCTCCTGATATGAGTAACCTTGGACCTTGAGAGAAAGAGTATTCCCCTTCAGCAATTGTAGCCCAAACACTTTGGAGCTCCCTTTCTTTAAACCTCCATTGAGTTCCTTCCCCATAGTTGAAGCCAAATAAGATCTCTAGCTGTCTAAAAGTAACCATCCTCTTAACTCCAAGTACCAAAAACGTGATCCAACCCAACCCTTGATCCAAATTGGCTCTATCTTCTTCCTCGTACATGTAGTACCTCAATGAGGCTAGGAACTCGCAAGTTAGCTCCTTGTATGACTCCATTCGGTGAGAGAAGAACCTAGCCAAGTGCATGTTCTTGAGAACGAACTGTACATCATCAAAGATCCCAAGCGCCTTCATGGCATTATCATGTGGGTACTTGGTCTCCACAAACTCCATAGAGAAGAGAGCATTGTAGTGCTCTTGGAACATGGGGAAGTCATCATCTTCTTCTTCTTGCGGCTGTTCAGCCTCCTCCATTTTCTCATCGGCCACTTCCAACATTCACCCCAATCTCAAACTCGCCTAGTTCACTCTCACTGCTCAGTGATTCTTCTCTCTGTTTTCTCCTCTGTTCCTCCTTCATTCTAACAAACTCCTCCCCTTCATCTTCAATCATCCTCTCTTTCATTCGTCTTGCCGCCTCTACCCTTTCCTTTCTTCCTTGAGCTGCATGGCTTCCTTCACCTCTCAACATTTTAACCTTGTTGCTTGTCAAAGTGGATCCCCTGAAATTCATCAAAGGTTCAAAAAATTAGAATTGTAATGATCGATTAGGTCAACTCGACACACAACTCGATCGAGTTAAGTAACTCGTGTGACACACTCGATCGAGCTAGGTTGAAACAGAGCAAACCGAATCAAAATCAAGGATCAAGAGCAGGATAGGATGCTAAACACTCAAATTGATCTGAGAACAACAAGAACTTAGAACAATAAGCAATACTAGTGAAGATTAGAGCATCCTAAACAATACCAAACTAAAGTTAAATGGATTAAAGCACATGCAACAACTTTAAAGGCAAAACAATGTTGAGAAGAGACAAGTTCATGGATTTCTCTAAATAAAAGAGGCTTATGAATGCAAATTCTCAAGAACTAGCTCATCGAGAACACATGCAAGCAAAAATTCAAGAGAGGCGAATTGCAATGAGAGATAAAGGAGGATTTAAAACTATAGATTCAGGGGGTTTAGAGATCAAACCTTTCTTGGATTATAGCTGTTGTAGAACAAGAGCTAGAAACAATGTAGTTTAAACAAAGGAAACAAGGAGAAATCGCAAAAAGCTTAAAGGGAAGAAGGGAAATTTCTGGTTTTCTTAGAGAGAAGGAAGAGAGATGAGGTATTTCAGAAATTTGTGAGTGTGAGAGAGAGAGGGGGCGTGGATCGAGTTATAGGGAATAGAGGGTGTGTGAGATGTGTGGTGAGGATTAAAAGAGAGTTTAAAGAGGGGACAAAGGCATAGGGTTTCTTTGGTCAAGTTAGGGAAGTGGGGGACCAAAATCACAGATGTGGGATCCACTCCCTTGACCAAGGAAAACGGTTAGGATTTTGAAATTCAAAAAATTTTACCTTCCTCGATCGAGTTAGCTTTGTCTCTGGCTCGATCGAGTTGACAGTCGAGCTGGCTTCTTTTCACCTAAACTAATCTTCCTGCAAGGGTTAAGACACAAAATACTAGATAGAGATTGAAATAAAGTCTATGTACAAGGATAGACATGGGACTTCCTCCCAAATGAGCTTGTTTAAGGTCCCATAGCTTGACCTTTGCCTTTTAGGCATTGGTTGAGCTAGTCCCACCATCAAGGGTGATAGTGAGGACTTGAGATAGAAGCTCCTTTAACTTGGTTGGATCCCTGGATTGCTCAGAAGTAACCAAGGCTTTAGCTCTAGAGAATGGTCTTGATCTCCCTTTGTACCTTATCTTGTACACAATCTTCCCATTTTCAAACTTGGTGGGAAACAAGGTCATAGTGAGCTGAGATGACTTGGTTGAGGAAGCCTGAGCTGGTGGATCCTTTCTTTTTTCTGCCACAAGTGCCTTTGAGGCTGCATCATCCCCTTCTTTTTGAGCACTTCTTAGTGGCTCATCAAACAAAGCTTGAAGGCTCTCCTCATCAAGGACACATGGCGCTTGAACAAGGCGATCAGCTCTTGGCCTATCAGATCTTGGTTTCTCAAGTCGTGGCCTCTCAAGTCTTGGTTTCTCAATTCTTGATCCTTTCTCAACCTTATTTTTCACAATCCTTGGCTCTTTTTCAACATTTTCCTTCACATCCTTGGCAACTTCTTGACTCTTGGAACTTAGTGGGGTGCTTTCAATTGTGCCACAATACTCATATCCTCTAGGCTGCAAGCGATATGAGACCAAACTATTCACTTTGTGGAGAATCACCTCTTTCTTGTGAAAATCAATTGAAGCGCCAACTGTACTAAGGAAGGGAGTTCCCAAGATCAAAGGCACATCCTTTTCTTCTTCCATCTCCAAGACAGTGAGATCAGTTTGGATTATGCACTCTCCTATTTTCAAATGATTTGTTTTTGAACACACCAAGAGGAGATTTAGAAGTTGCATCTCCAAACATGATTGCAGTAGTAAGGCACTGCAATGCTCCAGCAATGCCAAGCTTCTCTGCCATTGTGAGAGAGATGAGGTTTATACTTGCACCAGAATCGACTAAGGCGTTGTCAAGCTCAAGATGGCCAAGTGTGTAAGGGAGAGTGAATTTCCCTTCATCCTCTTCTGAACTTGTGAATAACTTCCTTGTGGCCTTGACTGAGTAGGCGGTCTGAGGATGGATCAACTGGCTGGTAAGGATCAAGCAAAACGGGTTTCAAAACTGATGGTGCCTGACTCGATCGAGGTAGAACTCGACTCGATCGACCTACCGATCGAGCTTGTTGTGCGAGCTCAACTGGTGAAGTGTGAATGGCTATTTGAGTAGCCTGCATTTCAGGTTGAACATTCTGGACTCCAGGAGCCTCAGAAACAACATTGTCTTCATTAGTAAGCAGCATACAGAACTCCTCAATGGCTCTCTCATTATCAGCTTGTTCATCAAGTCCTCCTTCTTGAGTGAAGTTCACTTTGCAATGCTCCTTAGGATTCTGAACAGCTTTTCCAGGTAGTTGTCCTTGTTTTGCAGCAGCAGAAGAAGAAGCATGGTTTTCTAAACTGTAGACTCTAGTGTTCAAGGACTCTATCTTGGAATTGATATCAGCCAATTTCTTGCTTGTTTCCACAACTCCATCAGCTTGGCCTTGGAGCAATTGTTTCAACATTGCCTTTAGCTCATGCTCTTGGTTAGGCGCATGTTGGGGTAGTTGGAGGGATAAACCAGGTGGTATATGCATTTGCTGTTGATGGCGGGTTTAGATTGCCTCAAATTTTCACAATTTATAAACCCAACTAATGAGCTGCAAGTGCACAGCCGTGTTGTAGTCGGGGTCGAACACGAGGAGGAAGTGTTCTCACTTAACACCTTGTGAGATTGGTTTAGCTAGCTCGCAATATGAGATGGTTTTGGACCTAGAATGAGAAAAAACAAAAGAAATGTGAGTGAGTTGTAAACAATTTAAAACAAGAGTTAGGCAAAGGACAATCATATGGAGCAATGATGAAAAGATAGTTGCATGGGATGTGTGTAGAGCCGTCTTGAACATGAATCACTAGTGTATGGTCTTTCCACTGTCGTGGCTCCAACCACTATGTTTAAAACAACCTAATATACTCAGCTTTCGTTGGCTATTAGAATTGCAAACATGCATTAAAGGATCAAGATTCAATTGTTCACAATAAACCATAACTCAGCTTTCGTTGGCTATGATCTATTGCTCACCAAATACTAGTTTTGAGATCTAGATTCAGCACTGTCGTGGTTCTATTTCTCTAAGATCAGATTACTAGATGTACGGTAGAGTAATCATGCATTAAGCTCAAGTAAAGGTGAAGATCCATAAGATAAATCCCAATAAGTTGCAACACAATCAAATCATCACGGCCACCATAGATCTCCTCGGCCTAACTAAGAGATCTACTCGGCCATGATGCAAACAAGCAAGCAAAGCATGATTGTAAACATTATGCAAGTATTAAAAGAGATAAAGGGATGAAGAAAGCTTCTCTATTGATGAACAAAGTCGGATTCTCCCTTGAAAACTCTTAAATCAAGTTTATAGAAATGGAAACAATGAAAAAGAAAGAACAAGAGTTGAGCGGCGCCTCCTTCTTCTTGGACGATCTCCTAGGGCTTCTCTCCTCTGAACTCTCTTCTCACACGTACACTCTTTGATAATTTTCGGACTCGACTCTCTTCTTCAGCGGCTAAAAACATGTATATATGGGCGAAGTCGCGTAGGGTTTTCTTCATGCCGGAAAAGGAAAGTTTCCCGTGAGCAAAGCCTTCTTCTCCACGTCGTGTATGGGCCGACATTGTACCAAGGAAAGCTCCAAACATTAGCCAGGCCTCTTCTCTATTCGATCAAGGCCTTTGGCGCTGCTGCTCGGGCCATTAGACACTCCAAATCCTCCATGGGCTTCGTTTACTCGCTTACCGGACATGTCTCGGTAGAAAATAAGTCTAGGCCTCATAGTTGATCCAAATGGCTTCATTCCACTTCGACGTGATGCATGACTCAAGTATCTATCTTTCCATATCAAGATCGTAACTTTTGGACGTCGGGAACTCCTCCGCGCGCGGCCAAACTTCCGAAGCTTCGTTCTGCGCGCAGCGAGAACTAACACTTGGAGATAAAATGATCTTCTTGACTTGGAAACTTGCATGGATCTTGATTTAGGGCTCTTTTACTCCTTTTTGCATCCTTTTTGATTTTTCACCTACAAAGACTTCAAATCCCACAAATACAAGAAAACTACCTCTAAAGGCAAAGAATCTTGCAAAAACCGTTTGAAAACATAGGTAAATTATATAGTAAAATCATGTAAAATATGGTGATATCAACTCCCCCAGACTTAGCCTTTTGCTTGTCCCCAAGCAAACTAAGCAGGAAAAGAGGTTTGAAAACGTGAGAACTCTCAAATCTTTTGGAAATCCAAATTGACTTATGCTTTAGTAATCCACATGAAACAGCATTGGCAAGTTTTGAATTAAGAACAAAGTACATACCATGAGTTTTGCGATTTTCCCAAAGCGGTCCACCTCTCCTTGGACAATCCAATTCGCCACCCTTGACTCCTTTCATTTCTAAAGGTGTGGTCTCAACTAGGGAGTATCGATCAGCCGGCTTTTAGACTCTTTCTCATCCCCTTGTTTGGCACTTGTCTTTTTACTCCATGTTTCTCCTCTCTCTCTTCTCACTTCTTTGAGTTGATTCATCCCTTTTTTAGGGTAGCGAAGTATTTTTTTATTCAACTCCTTCTCTTTATTATAGAGGTTTTGCTTGGATCTTCCACAGACGCGAGTATTGATGGTGTTTGCCACCGAATCCCCGGTTGCTTGGATTCATAGGCCTTCCATAGACGCGAGTATTGATGGTGTTTGCCACCGAATCCCCGGTTACTTGGACCTTACGCTTTTTCTTTAAATTTGAAGGGGAGAGAGAGGGAAGCACGAACTCACTAAGACTTTTTCATTTGATGGAGAGGATGAGGAATCATGCCATTTGTATGCCAAGCCCCTAGCTGAGAAGATTAAGTTCATTAAGGGCGGAGTCAAAGATGGATCCTTCTCAAGTCTTTAGAGATGTAGGCGTTTTTGGTAGATCGATCAACTCATAGTGCACCTGTGGTAAGATGTATTGCCAAGAACTGCTCAATGGTCACTTAAACATTAGTACAACATGGTTAGATCCAAGATAAGGTCATGATTCTCGACAAAAATTTTGACTCAATAAAAACGACTCGATAAAAGGGAAAAATGCAAATGAAAACGCCAAAATGAACAAACATTGTTAGTAATCCCCCCAGACTTAACTTGCACCGTCCCGGTGAAATCAAATCGGATTAAGAGAGGCATAACATGAAGTTCAAATGAAAAATTGAAAAGAAAAAGGTTTAGGATGATGTTACCAAATGTCGACCAATTTATAATGAAGATCAGTTCCGGTTTGGGTCATTCTACACTTCTTTAGGCAATATTGGTCGGTGAGTTTTTAATTTCAGGCCTTGGTTTCCGCCGGTTTGTGTTTTGGCCGAGATTGGTATATTCGGTCGGCCAAAATGTGGTGCTGTGAACTACAGAACAAACCGTCAAAATTTCATGACCTATATTGAAATTTCATCGACCAACCTGGTATTTTATGCCTCTGGTGAAGTTTGGGAGCATTTGACGAGCGGATTGAGACTTCCTTCACAAAATGGTCAAGTCGGCTCCGGGAAGGAGTTTCCTTGGCCATGTGAAGTTTGGCTCGTTCCTTTTCGTTTCTTCCTGCATAAAAGTGTTAGTTAAGCTCAAAGAAGAGTTTTCCAACCGGTTGGCGCGCCTATGCCGTGATTTGGTTTTGTCGGCCATATTGCTTGCGCGCCATCGGCCAGAATGAGCTCCGTCGTCTATCTCATGATCCGTGATGATTTCTCCGTCCTATCTTTTGGATTTGCCGACCAAAATGTGATTTTGGTCGCCTGTGAAGTTTGGTGGACTTCGGTCACGCCGTTTAGGAGTTGGCCGTAATTTGGCTCCTTGTGCGCGGTATGGCCGAGAGAAATGTCCGGATTGAATTTCTTCAAATCCACTCGGGCCAATTGAGATTTTCTTCGACGAATTGTTTTAATAACCCTCCTGTGTCATTCCCAAGTGGTGGCCGCCTTGTTTCGTGTGATGGCCTATGTATCTCCTTTTAACCTCCCTTTGGCCGCCATATGCATGTTGGTTTTAGGTGGTTATAGGTTTGCTCTATTTCTCCTTCCTGTCAAATGGTTAACTCCTTGCAAAACACTTGAAATCATGATTAGATGGTTTCTCAGATTGTGATCCTCAAGTGACCAACTTGAAGTTCACAATCCAAGAGATTAAAGCACAAACTATAAATTCTTATTTGGTCTTGGTCAATGATCCAAATTTCAAACTATAGTTCAATCTCTTGTAATTTCAGTGAGAAATGAGTTTTGACAAGTGATTATGTATTCTTTCCAATCATCAAAAGTAAATCAAGTTAAACCATGAAATATATTTGGTAAAGTGCAATGGTTTAAACGATTTTTCAAGTGAAGATCAAGAGTGATTAGAAATGAATACTAGGTGAGAGTTTACTTACCTTTTGAAGAGAAACGCCTTGTACAAGGGTGGGCTCATTGGGTGGGACACTTCCATTGTTTGGTCTCCTTTGGGTCTTCATCCTAAGAAAATATTTTTGTATTTTTGTTTGATTTTTGAAAAACTCCTGCAAAATAGAAATAGATAGTTAAAAACCATATGGGTTGCCTCCCATAAAGCGCTTTTGTTTTAAGTCATTTAGCTTGACTCCTTTTCTTTCTTTCAATCGTGGTGAAGAGTGGCTGAAGGGCAAAGGATCCCTTTAGCTTCTCCATTCTCCGGTTCAGTGGCTTCTTGTGGTGGTGTTGTGCGCCATGTCATCTCTCACATCATCCTTTGAAAACCAATGCCTTGGGGAAAAGCTTCATAGTTCTCTCAAGCTTCTCTTCAATGGATTGGTCACCTTTAAGCTCCGAATCTTTTGGTGTAAAGATTCTTATCTTGTGAAAGAGATTAGGTGCACCATTAGTCTCCTCTTCAGCTCCATACTCGTCAAAGGTTGGAAGTAGATGGAGTTGATTCCTTAAAGACATTTTCATGCCTCGGCTCCAATGTTTTCTTCTTCTCCTTTGGTTTTGGGTAGCGCTCACTCTCTCTTCTTTCTCCATGCAGCATCTTCTTTCTTAGGCGTGATGAGAGTGGCTTCTTCTGGTGGTAGCTTGGTCGCACTTGGCACTGACCTGAAATTTACACTTGGGAAAAAGATATCTTGCCGGATGTGGCCAAAAGATAGATGATTCCCAAAGTAGTTTAGGACCGCTCCAGCTGTAGCAAGGAATGGGGTTCCAAGAATCAGTTGATTCCTCTTTGAGCCTTCCCAAATCATGACTTGAAAGTCAGTTGGGACTATCGACCCCCTATTTCCATCATGACATCTTCAAGCATTCCATAGGGTTCCATGCACGATAGATCCGCGAACTCGACTCTTATCTTGGGGCTCTTGAATTCCTTGAATCCCAAGTCTTTTGCAAGTGCAAGAGACATTAGATTAACATTAGCACCAGTATCACATAGGCAATCATGGAGTTGAATGCCATTGATACTTGAAGTTATCACAAACTTCCCCGGATCTTCTTGTTTTTGTAGTGGCTTGCCTTCAAGTCTTCTCTTGTAAGCTCTTCTTGATTCCCAACTGTATCTCTCCGGTTTGTGCCTCTCCTTAGGCTCATTTTCTTCTTCTTCCCCTTGAGATAGTGTAGGAACAATAGTGCCATCTATAGATGAGACAACACTACAAAATTTTTGAGTGTTTACCTCAT